GGGATGTTTTCTGGAATGTTGTGGGGTTCTGGGGAAGGGTTCTGGGATGTTCTGGGATGTTCTGGGGTTCTGGGGAAGGGGGTTCTGGAATGTTCTGGAATGTTCTGGAATGTTCTCGGGTTCTGGAATGTTCTGGGGTTCTGGAATGTTCTGGGGTTCTGGGATGTTCTCGGGTTCTGGAATGTTCTGGAATGTTCTGGGATGTTCTGGGGGTGGTTCCCAGACTCACCCTGAGCTCCGGGGGCAGGGGGTCCCCCCGTAACACGAAGTATTTGAGGGGGGTCCCGCGGAGCCAGAGCGGGAACGGCCCCTCCACGAACACCGGCCGGGAAGGGTCGTGCTGGGCCAGGAGCTCCCGCTGCTCGGGGCTCTGCGAGCCTGCCACGGGGGACAGCTTGGGGACCCCAAAATCCACCCCAGGGACCCCAAAACCCCGGCCCAGGGACCCCAAACCCAGCCCAGGGACCCCAAAATCCCCCCCAGGGACCCCAAACCCAGCCCAGGGACCCCAAACCCAGCCCAGGGACCCCAAAATCCGCCCCAGGGACCCCAAACCCAGCCCAGGGACCCCAAAAATCCACCCCAGGGGCCACCCAAACCCAGCCCAGGGACCCCAAACCCAGCCCAGAGACCCCAAAAACCCCAGGGACCCCCAAACACCCAGGGACCACCCAAACCCAGCCCAGGGATCCCCAAACCCGGCCCAGGGACCCCAAACCCCCAGGGAACCTCAAAACCCATCACAGGGACCCCAAAAACCCAGCCCAGGGACCCCAAATCCACCCCAGAGACCCCAAAAACCCAGCCCAGAGACCCCAAAAACCCCAGGGACCCCCAAACCCAGCCCAGGACCCCAAATCCACCCCAGAGACCCCAAAAACCCAGCCCAGAGACCCCAAAAACCCCAGGGACCCCCAAACCCAGCCCAGGACCCCAAATCCACCCCAGAGACCCCAAACCCCCTCACAGAGCCCCCCAAAACCCTTCCGAGCGTCCTCAAACCCCAAACGAAAGCGGGGACCCCTCCCAGACCCCCCCAAAACTCACTGACGATGAAGGGCTGGACAGAGCCTTCATCCTCCCCCGTGTCCGGCACCGGCCGCTGCGGGATGGGGACACCGAGGGGAGGGGAGGGGGAGTCACTGCGGGGCTGTGTCCCCTCCCCACCTGTGTCCCCTCCCCACCTGTGTCCCCTCCCCACCTGTGTCCC